GCTGTGGCTGCAGACACTCGGTTAATTCTCCAGCTTCACCTGTCCCGTTATCTTGCGCTACACTGCCTCCTTGCGGTCATCAATAGCGTTGCTGTATGAAAAAATGGCTGCATTACACAAATGATCAAAATAACACAACCTAGCAAAATCCATGCTCAATTAGTCGATGTAGGTCGATTATATTATTTAAAGGTCATAATATTTTCAAATGTAACGCAACAAACTCCAATACAAGCAACAATAATATGGTCAGACACATACCAGTGTGAATTCAGGTTAATTGGGATATTTTTCCCCAGTCATCTCATCGGCAAAAAGTCTCCCAATTTACATGAAATTGGCAAAAAGTGTCCCAGTTTACCTAAATTTACAGGGAGACTGGGCTAGCTGTCGCACTTTATACTCCGATTAATATAATTAATGTTCTCTATATTTGCATATACCATTGTTGACACAATCTGTGATTAAACAGACAATTAGGCCTATGGAAAAACTAAACTCAAGAATTTCATGAAACATGGGAATTGCTTTGAGATCACACCTAAAAGGAAGCTAATCAGAAATTAAGTTTTGATATATTTACGGTAAGAAATTTACAAAATATCTTCATGGAATATGATCTTTACTTAATTTCCAAATTATTTTTGGTACAAAAGAAAAATCGATCATTATGGCCCATACAATATTTGGCTATTGCTACAAATATACCCGTGTGACCAAGACTGGTTTTGTGATCCAGGGTCATAAATATATATATGATAAATAAATATATATATGATAAATAAATATACAAAACAAAAACCTTATACTGTATATATATATATATATATATATATATATATATATATATACAGTATAAGGTTTTTGTTTTGTTTTCATCTGGGAGTAAAACGTGATCCAGACATGTTATGACATTCAACTGACCACTTAAAAAAGTGGTTTAAATGTAAAAAGTGGCACATTTTAACTCTTAAATGAAACAAAGCTGAAAATCAGTTCAACAAGACAAAAAATGTGTGGGGCAACATGTCAACTCGTTTCTTCTTAGAGAAAGTGCACTGAATTCTCACTGGAAATAGAAATTTAGAAAGAAAAAAAAATGTATACTAATAATAAAACTAATAAAATAATAATAAAACCCCTATAGTCAGTTAAAAATGTATGGAATGCTTCACACTGTAGACTGTTACATATAAGAGAAGCGACTAGAGAAAAGGAACGGCAAACATTAGTGATCGTGCACACTGATTAATGTACAATGTCGGCCTGTATTTAACAATCTTCTCCTGTAGTCAAGCTCAAATAACAACACTGAAACTAGCAAGCAGAGAAAGCACTCAAAGCCAGTAGCAAATGCATTAGCACACATTACACTCCGTCTCCAGTAGCTTTGAGTCATCACTGCTTTAGTGGACTAATGACAGAATGAGGAGTCACTGGTGCTAAGGCAACTGATTTAAAGTGTCTCGATGTGTTGTGTTGACTACATATTTAGCTAGAAGACGACAGCCTTAGTTATATATCTGTATATCAGAAATTAAAATACTAAAAGTTGTTAAAAATGTTGATTATAATGGAAAATTACAATATGTTTTGATAAAAGGGCCTAAGAACAAACAGTATACACTATCAAAAAAGGTACAAAACTGTCACTGGGGTGGTGATACTATATTTATTTTTAAAACACAAATATTATGTCTTTAATACCAATATTATACCTTTAGGGTACTAATATGTAGCATTTAGGGGAAATATGGTACAAAGATGTACCTTTTGTACCTTAAAATTATTGCCCCATTGACAACTCTGTACCTTTTATTCTGAGAGTGAGATGAAGCAGATTTTTTGTCGTGTTTTATGCATGAAATCATTCTTCTTAATTAAAATATGAGCAGCATGTTACATAAGGTGTTATGAGTCAACAAGTATATAACCTCTAACTCTGACTGCACTCCAGCTTTATCACCTCAAGCCAGCCATGCCATTTGCATATAGGATGGATAAGGTGATTTAAGAGAAATTGCATCAGTAACTTCTAACTGTGTCAGGCTGAATCTAGTCTCAGCTTTTCTAGGCTGACATGAGGTAAAAACACTAAGCTTCTTGCCCTGACACAAGGCACCAATCAAGGACTGAATGGCTGACTAATGTCACTGACCACTATCTGGCTTATGTAAAGACAATGTTCCTCTGTGTTGACAAGTCTTTGTTGCTAGGTTCTGTTGGGCTCAGAGAGAAAACAGTCTAGCTCCCATGAGTGGCAAATTGACAGTCAATAATTTTACAGCTTATTGACTAAGTAAAAAAAAAAGTACAGTTCAAAAGTTTGGAGTCTGTAAGATTTTTAAATGTTTTTGAAAGTGTTTCTTATGCTCACTGAGGCTGTATTTATTTATTCAAAAATACAGCAAAAACTGTTAAATATTTTTTTACAATTAAAACAGTTTTCTGTATAATTGAAAAGGGAAAATAAAATATATATGATTTTTGATTATGACCATGACAACAGGTCAAATAGTCAATGTTTACAGAACTGCACGTTTTCTGCATTCGAAAAAGTAAAGAACCGCTTGGTTTAGTAATCTAATGTTTGGTTAGTTACATAAACAACCACAACTAGTGTACATAGAAGGACAGTTTGCACATGGGATCTTTATCAGCTTGTGTGCAAGTGTGCACGTCCACTGGGGTGCAGGTTCAAACACAAAAACACATACAGTTCTCCAAACTTCTGCTTTGAAACAAGGGTATGATGAGTAATTCATTTATATCATGGTCACACCTGCCTGTTTAATCCATTTAAATGTTCTTGGGATTCTGCTGGAATGGGTTTCTCTGAAGTCTTTTTTGAAAACAGAAAAAACACAACACAATCCAGGAAGTAGCAGGTGCCATGTGCTTGATTACCCTTCCTCATAGAGGCCAGTGATTGGTTGGCTTGTAAATTGCCAATCAGTGCAACTTAAAGTAGTTGGCTCCTCCCACTGCCTGTGAGAATTCACAGCATTTGAGCTTGTTTTATATTGAGCAACTTGCACAGTTTTGTAGTTGTTAACGAGTTAGTCACATTTGTTTGGTTAGTTAGGTAGATAGTAGCACGTTTGAAAAAGTACGCACTTTATCATGGTTTTGTCAAAAGGAAAGAGATGCTTCTCAGGTGTGTATATTTTTGGAAAAACTTTTAGTAAAAACAGAGTCCTGAATTATCTTACCCCCTCTTTAGTATATCTCTGTCTTTCAGTCACCTCATTTTTAATTTAATGCTTAATACATTTTATTTAGATTATTTTAAGATTTTAGATTTTTTTTTCTTCCCCAAAATATTCTGTTATCTGAAATATGTCTTGATCTGATACAAGTATGTCTAATATAGTTCAGAAGGTTATCTATTTGCTTTCCCACTCACTTCAATGGTACATCCAGGAAGTAGGTAATCAGTATTATATCTCTTTAGTCTTAAGTTTGGCAAGAATAAAAAAGTATAAGAATTATGAAGCCCCTCCCTCAGAAATACACAATGGGCTCAGATTGGTTAGCTGGTCCAGTGGGTTGTGATTGGCTAAACCGCCTCTAGTGCGCGTCTAAACGTCCTGCCTCAGCGGCATGCACTCCGGTTGTATTGTAAACAATGGCGTCATCTGTTAAAGCAATAAGCCCCAAGAAGCCGTAGTTTACAGTGAATTTATAACACCTAGGCACAACGCGAAGCAGTTATTCCATATATGTAGTAAGGTTTCACAAAATAAAAGGCATAAAAGCAAATAGTGTAATCCTATTAATAAAAACAGTATTCTTCCACCAAACAATGTTGTTCCTCAGAAACCGTTGTGGTTGCAATAAAGTTGCTGCCAAGCAACACACAAAGTAAACAAAGGTGTATGTTTGTAGAGTAGTTAACAAGAGCTTCGGACGTGGCTCAACCAATCAGAATCAAGGACTGGAACTGTCCGTTTTAGAAATTGCTTATCTATTTGAGCCCAATTGAGACCCAGAGACTATTAGTGACGAGGATCGCGCAGAACCTGTGCAAGCACTGCTCTTAATGGCATGTTTTTTTGTTTGTTGTCGTCTCATATTTTTAGATACGCTGTTATTTGTAAATACTACTGCTTCTGTTAGCTTTTAATAGGCCTATATGGTTTTACCCTGATTAAAGCTTTAATACAGTACGGCAACTGCATGTGCGTGACAGTGCGTCCATGTATACCGCTTCTCATAGCTATGTGAAAAATAAGTGTATAAGTGGAACCGTTCATTGTTGTAGCTGAGCTGATGATCTGAATGAGAGAGCGAGAGATGCAGGGCGACGTGAAGAACAGGATTGAGAACCGCTGCATTAGAACATTGATTTAGAAACTTGTTGAATCCATTAGAATCGTTAGAAGACAGAATTGCGATTTCATTTATGAATAGATTTTTATGTGCACCCCTAGTTTTCTCTTCCTCTTCTCTAAAGCAGCACAACATGGCCTCACCCCCTTTGCTGCATGTTCCCGGGGTTATCTGAGTTTGTGACTTAACGAACCCGGGAAGTAGCTTGTTGTAGTCCCTACGAGCCGTTTTTGAAGGCATTAAACTGCCAGAATTTTAAAAGACATCAAGACGATATCTCCATTTGCATTGAACTTTCAGCGCCGCAACTTTGCAGAAATGTATGTTTGGCAACATTACACACTAACTAACGTTAAAGTTAAATCGCAGTCAACCACCCCTGTAAGTCCTTTTTTAATATAGTGTGTAAAATAGTTTGATACAGCATGCAACATTGTTCTTATTATGAGATTAATGGCATACAGTTATATGAACATTTACAAAACATCACTCTGAAAATAGAAGTTCAAAGCACAGTGCACATTTTGGTAAATCTAAAGTAGTAGGTAAACAAGATATTCCATGCATGCTGATAGAATGTGTTGCATGGTTTGTTGTTATTCCAAATATAGCCTGTGTCTTGCCTATCATGACACTGTCCTGTCCAATCTTGTTCTTATCTCCCTTAGCAGTGGGCCCCACATCAGAAGCCTGCCAGTGTTCAAACCCGCAGGAAGCCCTACTGCCCCTCGCGACGCAGAACTTTATGCCCCATACAGGACGCCCCCCAAAGCCCCCTCCATTACCAACAGCAGTAGCAACTCCAGCTCTACCAGAAGGTATGGACAAAGAGGCAGAAGCAAACAGGTGGAAGGAAGTTGAGAACATGGTAGATGCAATATATTCTATGCAGGGCTCAGGCGCAATACAGATAGTGTTATCGTGTCCTCAACCTCTTCACAGAATAAAGGATTAGATTGGTCATGGCTTGGCTGTGCCAGGCTTTGAGGGGATTTTGACAATTGTCTGCTCATTTTGCCCACGCAGACAGCAAAGCCGTTGGCTGGCTGATAGGAGTAAAGTGTTTTTCAGTGCTACGTTTTTGTAGAGAGGGTGAGGGGCATTAATATTTCATGTGCACACAGTATGTTTGAAGATATTTAGGCTGTGTTGTTTGGCTTAATAACATGATGTGCGGTTTCTGGGTTTTTAGTTTTGCCTTTTATGTGATTGAGGGTAAGGAAACTAGTGGGTATTCTTGTTGACATGGTCAAAAGGAGTGAATTTGGTTGTACATGTAGTTTCCATAAATTATTATTATTATTATTTATTTTTTTTTTTTTATCTAAGCACAGAACGTGTGTGCGCTGTAATGCCTTTCTGAGCTTCTCCAGGGTCCTTGTTTGTTCTTCCATTGTTTCATCTCTGGCACAGATGCAAATTTGACTTCAAAGCAACATAGCAGGTTGCTAGGATATTGTGCCTCTAGTTTTAGTGCCTGGTAACAGGGCCATTGCTTTTTTTATTTTTTATTTTTATTCTTTATGTATTTTAAATATTAATGTTAAATAATTAACCTGCTCTCCTATTGCATGGTTGGTTGCATTTTATTATTTGCTTTTGTTTTTTTGTTTTTTCTTTTACCTCGCTGACCATGACACAATCAAAACAGACCTGCAGTCTATATTTGGGTCACATCCCACATGTTGAATTGACCTAAACAAAATTTAATGGACCAAATAAAGGGCAGTTATGGTGATTTGTGTAATATGAGGTTTTTCATATTTGTAAAGCTTTTAGCTTTTGCATTTGGATGGAAACAGTAGCTGAGTTTCCATTCAAAGTTGTAAATTTAACTTCTGTGCAAAATTACATAAAACCGAGTATTGCATAAAACATTTGTGAATAAGCACCGTTTCCATCCAAGGAGTCAAAGAGAACAAAATCGTCACTTCCTGATAAACTGACACTAAATATCACTAAAAAAAGTAGGAGAAGCCACTGAAAATTTATAATTTTCTTATATAATAAATTACTTGCACCTCAAGACGAAACACAATAAATGCGCAGTGTAAGTAGTTCTGGCATGCAATTATACAGAAGTGCTTTGATTAAAGACTTTGCTCAGGCATTTCAGAATGATCATAACATTTGAGATGCAGATCGGTCTGCTGTTTAGTCCAGTTATACCATCCCATTGCACAAACTTTTGATGCACATGGAGGAATTTATTCGCAAAATGTTTCCATCTCCCATTATTCGCATTAACCCTTTTTCTCACAAGTCAAAAACCCCCTCGAGGGGGTGTAAACTTTTTTTTTTTTTTTTTTTTTGCAAATTATGAAATTTAAATTTTTTCAAAATTTGGCGTTTCCCTCGCTTGTTTATGATGCAATACTTCAAATTGCACATAAAAACAGGGTGATGGAAACATAGCTATTAACTTGTTACAGACAACAGGCCATAAATTTCATTACTTCAGCTCTTGTTGTAGCTTTCATATTAGCATGCGTCATCAAATTTAAAAAAGCTTGCTTTTAACTTTCAGAAGAACCACTCCTGTATGCTACCATTCCTGCGGAGACCATCATGGCATCAAGCCTCCCAATCCAGAGCAGTACCTTACCCCTCTACAGCAGAAAGAGGTAGCCATACGACACCTCAAGACAAAACTTAGAGACTCCCAGAACACAGTTTGTGACCGGTAAGAGTCTGCTTTCAAATACTTGCACTAATGCATTACTGAATTGCAGTTCCCTCAAGAGCTTTGACACAATTTGCAAACTGATATCACATGGTACATTTTCCACACTGATGGGTTTCAGGGAGGCTGAGATTGAGGAGCTGAAGTCCCAACTGGGGCGTATGCGGGAGGACTGGATAGAGGAGGAATGTCACCGTGTGGAAGCTCAGCTAGCTCTCAAAGAAGCACGCAAAGAGATCAAGCAGTTGCGCCAAGTGGTGGAAACCATGAAGAACAGCCTCATGGAGAAGGACAAGGGCATCCAGAAGTATTTCATTGACATAAACATCCAAAACCGAAAGCTGGAGTCCTTGCTCCACAGCATGGAGTTGGCACAGAATGGTTGCGACTTGCAGGATGAGCCCACGCTGGACTTTATCTGTGAGTCTCCAGAAAGATCCACTGCAGTCAAGTTCGAGATGGAGCTACATGGTGAAGAACAAGCAGTGGAGGAGATGGCTGATAGTGAGCTGCTGGCCAATGACGAGATGGCCAACAGAGCTGAAATTCTCGAGAAGGTTCTCATGTCCACTGCGGTTGATTCCAGCCAGGACGGTGGCACCAAGATCATTCCTCAACCAGGGCTGTCCACCTTGGAGCCGAGTGTCTCGGAAAAGAGCACAGAGGAGCTTTTCTCTAGTGACCCCTTTGGTGCAGAAGATAAAGGTGTCCAGACTGATGAGATGATCTACACCGCTGATCTCCAAGCCCTCCTTTTCCAGCTGCTAAAGCTCCAAGGTGGCAGCTTCCCTGGTCTCCTTATTTCTTCTCCCCACCAATCGCAGGAATCACCTTCAGCACGAGTTCCCAAAAAGGTTGAGGACTTGCCTGAAGCACAAGATGAAGAAGTCAAAGATGTTGGCCCAATTTGCACCAACCCTGCCCAAAACACCGTTAATGATTCTGGTCTGGGCTTTTCCGAGCCCAAAATGAGTCCCCAGTTCATGGAAGAGCTGAATTTCGACATGAAGATTCCCAAGAACACCTCTAGCATGGCAGTGGTGGGAAAAAGCCACTGGAGCAACAACTTCTTGGTCGATCTGGTTGCTGTGGCAGCACCCGTTCTGCCCACCGTGGCGTGGCTCTACTCTCAGCATGGTTTGGTCGGAGGGGCTCCTGTGTACAACATAGCAGCTTTAATTCGAGGCTGTTGCATTGTGGGATTGCACTCACTCCGCCATGTCTCTCACGGGCCAGACACTTAGTGGCCCTCACCCACAGTTACAGCAAGAGCACTTAAATGTCATCTTCAAGTAGAAATTGTTTTTGTACACCTGTGATATGCATACACTTATTTTCCGTTTAGTTGCAACATTCCTACTTTGCACTGTGTTTTTGAGGCACAAAGGATGAAATTAAGGGGATGTAAAGGAACTTGTTTTTTCTTTTTTTGTTATTTATTGCCCTTATGTTTGTGTGTATAAATATTTTTGCATAATCTGATCGTCTGGGTGGGCGATTATGTTGCTCGAGTCTTGTTCTTTGCTGACTACTATTCCCTGCTTTTTATAAAAGGGTTATTTAGAGTAGCAATAGGGGTTGACTGTCAGTTGACCGTTGTTTTTGTTGTATTTAAAATGTCACTTGTGTTCCAAAAGAACTAAAACCTTCTGCCAAAGCTTAAATGTGTTCAGCGTTTTAAGTGAAACTGTATTTCTCTCCCTGGAGTTAGAGCTTTTACATGTTGCTCCGTAAACTAACAATTTCCTGAAAGGCAGCACTTGCAACAGTACAGCGAACACTTGTTATGTGCCTGAGCTATGTGCAATATTTTTGTTTATATCAGATGTATATCATTATTTATTATTAAAGCATGGAAAACCCCTCCAAGCTTGGATTTGTGTTATTGCATGATTTCTAAACTTGTATTACTTGTTTAGGCCCACACTAAATCGGTGTCCACCAAAAGCTCAAGACTTAGAATGAATGACATTTACAAAGTGATACAAATCCTTCACCATTTCCGCAATCCTGCCGATTAAACATTTTGGATAATTTGATAATGTTTTCAACTACCAATAGAAGTAGAGTATTTTTGTAAGTAGTAAAGACTTCCCCATTAAATTAGTGCTGAAAATTAAAAGTATTTTCCGCTATATCTTATATTAATAAAATAGATGTACAAAAAAATCTCCACGAACCCATTATGGAAGGCGTTGTTTTACGAAAAGGTTTAATGTTTTGATGTGCCAAGCAAAGTAAGTTAAATCAGTAAAGTGAGCCTTAATCTTTAATCCCGAAGCTTTAATCCTAGATTAATACAATTTAATTCTTTGCTCTTCATAAGATTAAGTTTCTTTGAACGGCTGCTTGTTTATGAAGCAGTATTTTACCAAGCCAGAAAATAGGTACGTGTACAAGAACCTGTAGTGTCATTTACACCATTGTTTAACATTTAACATTTTGTGATGGAAATTACATTTTAAATATTAGTAAAATAAAAATTTAACTATTAATATTTTTGATTTTTTTTTAAAAATCACTTTTGGCATAGTTTGACATATCCTTAGTGGAAATGACAGACATTTTGAGGGTTTTTCACACTGGTTATCTTCAAAGGTTTAATGTTTTGATGTGCCAAGCAAAGTAAGTTAAATCAGTAAAGTGAGCCTTAATCTTTAATCCCGAAGCTTTAATCCTAGATTAATACAATTTAATTCTTTGCTCTTCATAAGATTAAGTTTCTTTGAACGGCTGCTTGTTTATGAAGCAGTATTTTACCAAGCCAGAAAATAGGTACGTGTACAAGAACCTGTAGTGTCATTTACACCATTGTTTAACATTTAACATTTTGTGATGGAAATTACATTTTAAATATTAGTAAAATAAAAATTTAACTATTAATATTTTTGATTTTTTTTTTTAAATCACTTTTGGCATAGTTTGACATATCCTTAGTGGAAATGACAGACATTTTGAGGGTTTTTCACACTGGTTATCTTCTTTTTTTTTTAATCCCGCTTTTAAACCCAGACATGTGGAATTTTTCACACCAATAATTCAGAAGTGGGGTTAACCCCGTGCTGCGGTTCAGCGTGAAACTACATTTAGGTGTTGGAATATTACGAATAGATAACACGGACACCCAGTCTCAAGTCTCATTCATGTGCTTTGGCAGTGGTGGGAAACACTTCGTGTTGTAAACAGTGTTGTAAACAGTATCGGCTGTTGAGGAGAAAATGTCAAATAGTGACGGAAAACGCGTCATTTCATTCTTACATTTATATTCATGAAAAGCTGATAGTAGTAGTTAATATTACCTGAGGATGCCTAATGCTAGAGCCTTATGTGAACACTTACCATATGCGAATAAGAACGAGAGCCTAACCCACCCTGCTGAAAAAAACAAACAATAGAACTACCACAGAAAAATCTAATGTTTTCCACTACAAATACCATTACAAACATTACAAACCATCAACTTTTAACCATTAAAAAATGGTTTTCTATAGTGTGTTTTGGGACATATTCATTCCATTAGGATTTATTGGTTTTAACAAGCCACCAATGAAAAAAAAATTAATAAAAATGAATTAAAAAAGAATGAATAAATATAAATAAATCAGGGTAAGACATTTACAAGACAGTGCGGTAATGTGACCTTCATTATAATAAAGTTGTTGCATTTAGGCCTAATAAAAATCACCCCGAGACATAAAAGTGCCCGTAACTGATGAAACAGAGATGTTTAAACTTTAATATGTTAATGCTGTTGTTAATTAATGCTTCTTTAATGGACCTGCTGGGCACCCAAACACACACACACACGCACCCAAAAACATTTTATATAATACAAAATACATGGAGTAAATGAACCTCAGTGCTGCTATATTCAGAAGCTGAGATTAAAGCAACCATTACACAGCAAGCATGGACCCCTGGGCCACTTGAGAAACACACAGTGCATCTGCTACCAGATGGGACTTGACTATTGCATAACAAGCAACCTTGCTTGCATGAAATGGCAAGACTGAGCAAATGCTTGCTGTTATGTACTGTTAGCCCAGTTGGACACTACAGTTACTGTAGCTATTTACTCTGTTCCAGACTATGTATTGTAAATGTTTTAATATGATTTTGCTGAGCTCCCCCAGTGCATAAAATCTTTGAACAGTGCTTATATACATTTTATTTAATGAACATGGTCCAAAAATCTTGAGACAAACTTGAGACAAAGCGCATAGCTGAAGAAGACAGCATGTAATGTATAATTCAGTCAGAGTTTATGTTCCTCTCTCAGTCTAAGTGGGTCAGGCTGTGGCCGGGGGCGTTGCTGAGGCAGATGGGGATTATGACATCACATTCTCAGAGCTGGAATATTCCACCGGTCCGGACAATGCATCTGACCTTGAATATCACAAATGATAGCACATGTATTCAGCTTTATGATGCTGATTGAACATCTTAACAGTCGGAGTACAAACAGATCAAATAAAGTCTAATATTGCTGATTATGTTCAGAGACCCAAAGACGTCATCTTTACCACGGCACGATGAGCATGTTTTTTGGTGAAGAAATGACAGTAGAAGATTCTGAAAGCCTCTGAATAAAGATAAACCATTGAACAGATAACCGAAATGTTTATTACAGCTAAGGCTGCACTGTGAAAAAATGTAAAACAACTTAAAAAGGCATGAGCATGCATGAATGGGAAACATAAATCATAGCAAAAGGTGTGATTTTATTCAGTTTTTCATTGTTATCTGTACCTGTGGCTCTCATGGCTTCATTTTCCTTAATAATCATCATAGCATGCAGAAGTTAATTTCAGCATCACCATCATCCTCCTCATTCTATCAATAAACATGATCAATTTAGACATTTTCAAGAGATAAGAAATTCTATAATAGCTAAAGACAAGAGGTTCCCCTGGTGAAATTGCTTTAAAATAAACAGTGAATGCTTTTCTCTTAGTCAATGCTCTTCACAGTCTTACAAAAGATAAAAGATGGTTTGGTTGCCAATTCGGATATTTTAAAAATGTCAGCGTTTCCATGACGACCAACCCACATCTCTTAAAAGCGCTCTATTCGAGCCTCAGTACATACTGAATATCTCTGCTCTCCATTCCCACTGATTACCCAGATGACTCAAATTGTTGTCTTTAGAAAAATCAAGATCAAAATATAAGGATTATTCACAATTAAGCCCATGATTACCAGGTAAACAGAATTGCAACAGATTAGATCGACGGCTAAATAGAATGTGGAGAGCAAAAACCCAAGGTTGCATAAATTTGATTATTTTGAAATATTGAGATATCACCCATTTCGGTGTTTAAAACACAGACACAAGACTTTTGATGAAGAAAAAGGCAAAAAAGCAAAACCAAAAATGAACGGAATTCCTTATCTAAAATTTTTCTTGACCAAATCATTCAAGTGTTATAAATACTGAAAGAAAAAAACATGTAGTTTTGTCTTTCAATCGAGTGCACGGTAAGAACAGTCACAATAACTCAAAAATAAACAAAAGGGACGATTCTTTGTGCTGTGTTCAGTCCAATACAAAAAGAAACCCTGAAGAAACAAACAAACAAAAATTCCCCAAGATGGCTGATGGACTAAAAAAAAATATCCCAAAGAGGTGAGGACAGCAGTGTGGCGGGGCAGGACAAAACCAGGTAAAATGTAATATGAGCAGTTGTTTGGCTGTTGCTTTGAGTGTCCGGTGCGCTGTATTAATGTTATGAAAGCTTGACAGCAATCTTCTGCTCTTTTTTCATCATTCTCTGTGCCTCTTTCTCCATTTTCTTCCTCTGTTGCTCCATTGCACGTCTCTCTCTCTCAGCCAGCTTCTGCTGCCTGTATTCACGATAGACAAAGAAAGATCAATTTCATTGCATTTATGATAAGTTTAAAGAGATATTTGTTTTGAAAATCAATAATCTTCTTTATTGTATGCGGTCAGTAAATACACTCAAAATTCATACTCTTTCAAATATGATGTGATATAAGATTGATCAAAGTAAAATAGCACTCTCAAAAATTACAATTCTGTCATCATTTACTCACCTTCTTGTCCCTCCAAACAGCTCAGTACTTCCATTGTATTGTTATCCACACAATGATAGAACTGAAACTGTTATCAAGATTCTTCCTAATATTGTCTTTTATGCGCCACAGAAGAAAGAAATGCACACAGCTTTGGAATGACACAAGGGTGAGTAAATGATGACAGAATTTCTAGTGAACTATCCCTTTAATCAAGATCCGGCACAAAGCAGTGGAGGTTGAAAACAACTGTGCTTGTACATTGACACCTAGTGGATAAAATCAGAAAACCACCATATTCTTCCTCTAAATATCTTGAGTTCAATTATTACCAGACCATCACAGAATCTGCTCAGCTGATTTCTACAGAATTTAAA